TCTGAAAACGCAATCTGGTCTAATACAGAAAGCCATAGAACTGAAGAAAGAATTACAAATCGGTGATAATTTCGGACTCACAGTCAGCAATAAACTCAATTGGAAGCAGAGAGCCATCCAAAACAGCTGAGGTAAAGGAATGTAGAAAACTCTATCAGCTGCTGGGAGAGAAAAACAAAACAGTGGTCCTGCAATGGATTCCTGGTCACTGTGGCATTAAAGGCAATGAGCTTGCTGACACGCTTGCTAAGAAGGGGACAATGATTTTGCAATTCATGGACCGGCCGATGTCTTTCCACACAATGAGGGCCTTAATCAGGAGAGAATTCAAGACCTCAATGTGCAACGAACTTAAAGCTAGAGCAAAGGAGAAAGAGTGGACAGTGACACTCTCCGACATAGCCGACTGGCCAAGAATCGAAGCCGTTGCTGAGTTTAGACTACGTACCGGACACGATTGCTTGGCAAAACATATTCACAGATTGGGAGTATACACTCAACCCACATGCCCTCTATGTAACCTACATGAGGAAATGGAGAAGACCCACCTGATTCGATGTCCAGCTCTAAAGACAACGACGGAAAGCCAGAGATACTGGGAAACAAGAAGACGGCTAATGAACTGCTATTAATTAACTGCTATAAATGTACCCCCCCCCCTCTTGGGGGAAGCTGAAGTCAAATTTTAAGGGCTAATGATAAATATCACAAAGCCTGCCACTTGAAATATATATATATATATATAAACATTGTCCCTACACTCATAGTCACATAGTTCTCAATCCATCTGCGTATATTCATAGGGCAAAAGGTCTATTAACCGGCAGTTGACTTCTTACTTCAAACTATCATCACCCCACTGTATGTCATATTCGAATACTTCCACAGTACTCACCTCACCTTTTTCTACCTTTGTGTCTGTCTCTTTTACATCTTTGAAACACTCATCTGTCCCCACCTCTACACTTTTTTTCACCTTGATGTTCCTTCTCTCCACTGTGAAGCCTGAAGTCAACTAAAGGGCTAATGGTAACTAACAAAACGCCTGCCATTTGGTATAAATAAATAAAATCTTCGATTTTTGTCGAATTTCGGAAGAAAATCTAAAAATAGGTGGATGTCACACTCTCAACTTCATTTTAGTCCAAGGTTTGGTCTGTTTTAGCCAATGTTACAGCTGTATAGCCTTTAGGTTAGCTCACTATGACATAAGAATTTAAATCTCGATTTTCTCTGTCGTTTATCTTTGAAACATGTTTGAGACCACCTTTACTATTAGATGAATATTAAGGTCCTCCATTTAGCCGTCCAATAACGGATATTTGATAAAAAAATACGAGTTTCCTTCCATGCAAACCATCACCATATCGCCTTTTAAAACTTCGCCACTGTCAAATTTGTTGTACAAGCACCTTTTGACACCCAGACAGCAAAATAGTCGATTAATGTGCTCGTATCCAAACTCAGAGATCGTCTGGGACACCTCTGTGGTGTGCCATGGCAGACCACATTGCGTAAATATGGTTACTGAAATGCTGGGCGGAATTAGTGATTTTCAACTAGAATAACGCTGCATTGAATGCGCGAATTACTACCCGGTGAGATGAATGTGTGATTGGTTGATTACAACTTAGAGAGGAGGTGGGAGAAGCGATACACTGGCCATGTAATTCATTAACAATTTCAGTCCTAAGTCGACTCCAAATGATTGACTCGTTTGCATTCCATCACCCAGTCTCACCCTAATGCAATTAAAACTGCACTTTTTTCCCTACTTACTTTTCCCTTAACTTTCGCTAATTAGCGGCCATTAAAGCCGTATTGAATTAGCCTCAAGAACAGGATGTTATATGACCTTTGGTAAGGTAGTGCTGGTGATTTTATTGGCGTTGGGTTGGAATACCAACATTCAAGTTTAGTTTCCTTATATTTTTGGTATTGCAATTTGCAACAGAACGTGTTATTTGTATGCCATAACAGCTCTAAATGATCTGCTCAAAGGCGGAGAAGATTCCCATACTCTAAATCCCCCTTACCCTCCTCCCCCCCCCCCCCCCCCCCCCCCACCCCCTCCTCAACTGTTGGCGTATGCTTGCCTGATTAATACATTGAATAATATTCCTATTAATAAAAAGGAACATCTTTATATAATTATATCTATTTGATTGGACACTATAAAAATACAACTTATTTTTTTACAAAGTCAATCTTTTTGTGCTTTAGCTATGAAAATTTTGGAACATTAAAAATATTGCATTGAGTGTCCGGTATCGGCTATGCATTTGGAAATAATTAATATCCATTTATTTCCATTATGATAACTAAATTAGGAAGACGTCTTATAACATTATAAAGGCAGGATTTTCATAGTTGAGAATTAGTTACTTGATTTCCAAGAAAATGCCGGCATGGATATACGCACACACACTCATGCCAGGAGTGGGAGAGTACGATAGACTTACCTCCGAGTGGTACATCGTGGGCAGGGTATACTCACACGGTGAAGAAGTCTATAAACCGAAAATCGACTTTAGATTACAATGACGCGACTGTATGTCCTATTCGACCCGTTTCACAATATTCATCTTACCTTTTTTCTGCTTTTGTGCCTGCCTGTCTCTTTTGTATCTGTGGAACATTATTCTGTAACCCCTCACAACTTTTGGTGACTTTAACGTTCCTCCCGAAGTCAAGTTTAGTTCTGATGATAGATATCATAAAGAATGGCATTTGAAATAAATATTTCCAAGAAAATCTAATGAACAAGCTCTTCAATCATCGATGCTTTACAAGCGAATAGCCATATGATAGACCCACCATTGTAGCCTTCAAGTTTTATTACTCCACCCAATTGTACTCATGCCCAAAGCATTCTCGGAATACGAGGACTAGATAATTAATCGCCCTTACGAAACTCTAAATCCTCTGATTGTGGTCAGTAAACGCGATTGCATTATTCATTCCTTTGAACTTCTATGTAAAAAATAATAATCAAAACACACCTCACTTCCTCTCTCTTCTCAGATAAGTCCAATATTGCTTCTAACCGCTATGAATTCTTCTGAAGTCTTTAGCTTTACATTTGCTCATCTTAGTATTTACCAAGTAACTAGTTGAAAAGACCGCTGAATAATATCACTGATTTTGCTGAGAAGGATATGTCGTTGTTTCGATTTCCCGCAGCAAGCCAAATACTAAAAAAATCATATCAGTTCTAGTTTCTAAATCTACTTTTTCTTTTCTTATTAAAACACATCAGACATTTGCTGATTTTGAACTTATTTATTCCCAGTGTGGAAATTGGATTAACGAAGTGGTCGCTTTTAGGACATAGGTATGAATGACCTCATCAGTTAGAGGTCACATGAAAAAGAATCGTTAGCAGTGGGAGAGATTCAATCTTTTCCTTAAAACTGATTGGTTGGTTTAAATATTGGACATGTCCTTAAGGCGTCCAGTAAAAACGCAGCTGGGAAACCAATCGCATTGCCATTGGTGGCACTATATCAGAAACTATTTCATTAATGTGAATGCTTGGAAGCCAATTTCGGAACTATGGGGAATGGAAGTGCTGTTCCAAGTGGATACAATGACTCCTGCATTGAGCTTGAAGTACTACGAACTAATTCCGAGCATGCTCAGATAGCATTGGCTGGATTTAAACTGGAAGAGCTTACAATATATCTTACAGTCACGCTCTTTATAATGGTGATTATGCTTCTCAAGATAGGATATCGGAAGGTGCCTCACATTGGGTCATATTTCCCCGAATCTCTGCTTCTTATGCTCGTGGGACTTGCATTTGGAGCTATTATACGTTATACCAACAGTAAATGTGCCTTCAATGCACTCCGTCTGTCGCCGCATTTATTTTTCAACATTCTCCTCCCACCAATTATGCTAGAATCAGCTTACAGTATATATAACAAGAAATTTGCTGAAATATTGGCAACAATTCTTTTCTTTGCCGCAATAGGAACAGTTCTTAATTTCCTTTTCATTGGATTAGGTCTCTACGTGGTGGATATTTCCATCGGACTTGGAGAACCGAATCTTCACTTTGGAATAAAAGAATTCCTACTCTTTTCTTCTCTCATAGTTGCTGTCGATCCAGTAGCTGTGTTGGCCATATTCCAAGATATTGGTGTTGACCTTAATCTCTATTATATGGTGTTTGGAGAATCCCTACTGAATGACGCTGTAACAGTTGTCCTTTACAACATTATGAGTGCTCTTGTAACGACACCCAAAATAAATGGCTGGCAGATAGCTACTGGAATTGGGTCCTTTTTTACTGTGAGTTTTGGTGGAGCTTTAATTGGTCTTATACACGGTGTCTTCTCTTGCTTCTTGACAAGATTCGGAACTGGTTCTGAGACCCTCGGTGTCATACTCACGAGCTACCTATCCTATATAATTGCTGACTTATTTGCATGGTCAGGTATAATCTCCATAATTGTTTGTGGAGTAGTGCAGTCGGCTTATGCCTTCCATAACTTGTCACCCTTATCCGTCATGGTTTTGGAGTCTGCCATTGGGCAGGTGGCAGCCATTTCAGAAGCAGTTATCTTTCTTCTTCTTGGATCTGAGGTGTTCGCACTCAATCTAAGATGGCATACCGGATTTCTAATAACATCTTTAGTTCTTTGCATAGTTGGAAGATTTTTTATTATAATGATTCTGTCGGCAATCGTTAACAAAAATCGCTGCAAGTCATCACGAATCTCTTGGTCGGAACAGGTCATTATCAGCTACGGAGGTCTTCGAGGAGCTGTTGCGTTTGCACTTGTCATTCTTATTCAAGACGAAAGCACTGAAGATGGTTCACAGTTGGCAAGAGATGTGCAGGTGACCACAGCGATAGCTGTAATATTCTTTACCGTTGCAATAATGGGAACCACAATGAAACCACTTGTTCGATTGCTCGATATTCGCCTTCATTCTGAAAAGGACATGAATAAAAATCTACTATTGACTCTTAACGATTCTGTCATGGAGGACACGTTGATTTTTATTGAGGAGTTAATATCGTCGCGGGGCGTTCATTCCTTTGTGCGAGCTTTAACTGATTTTGATGATAAGTATATCCGCCCAATCCTTCAGAGAGACGCTGCAACCCATGAAATGAAAATCGTCAACGCCTATGAAAAACTCGCTCTTCAAATGCACTCTGAGGCCATTGGAGCGCCAAGGGATTCTGCCCCCCGTATTGAACCAGAAAGTGGGACTTGTACTGATATCCCTGGTATTCCAAACATGTTGATGACTCAAAAGTTACCTTCTTCAAGATATCAACGTCGCCTCACACTGGCTGCTCTGACAAGTATTGGGCCAGAAGTTGCATTACTGCATAGTAAGAATTTGGACTTCGCATCTGCTCAGAGGGCACAATTCGCTAAACTCAATAGAAATCAAGCCTCATTTGCCCGAACAATGGATATGCAGATTCGGTATCACGATACGGGCTCAGCAGATGAACTTCATCGAAGACATAGCCGTGGACATCGTGGCCATCTAATTCGCCAGTTCGCCAATTGTGACAATAGTGATACAGTGACTGCAGGAAAGCATCATACAGTGAGATTTGCCGTTCATAAAAACAAATTGACAATCCCCACCATAAACGTGCCTTCTATTGACAGTATTCAAGATGCTATTGATGAAGACGACAAACATCCAAGAAGGTCTAAGACCACAAAGTCAAAGTCAGTGGACTTGTAATTGACTTAATTGCTCAACTCCCTGTAAAACTTCATTATTTTACTAATAAATGGGCGTCCCAACAGGCTTTAATATCTGTTTATTTCAAACCCATCAAGATGAAAATATTGTTCATTGCAGTTGTTGAACTGAAGAGAGTGAGATTTTGAAGAAAATTTCATAAGTTAATTTAGGCCATTTATATAAAAATGAAAAATTATTCAGATTGTTTCACTGCTCATCCAGTTTAATCTGCTTCGCTTAAATATATTAGAAGCAATATTTTGCAAATTCCAGCACTATTGTACGTGATCAAGCGGAAAGCACAGGTGATGCTTAGACGAATAAAATAAAGACCTATTGGACATACGTTGAAAGTGCCTTATCGAATCAGAAGCCCCTATAAGTGTACAAAGAGGATAGGAGGAAGCCAATTGGTTGAATGATTTGTTACACATCGTCTAAATTTAGCCTTTATAAAGGTCTTCCAAGTCCACTTGCTTGATGTGAAAAAATAGTTAATGATACATATTTCCAAATGGCCTCCAAAATTAATTCGTTTTTTCCTTTTGTTCTTCAAGTTAGATTGCTGGGAAAATTCGGGAAAAAATGTTGCGTTGTGGAAAGTATAGACCGCTTTCTAACTGAAACATTAATTCAACGAAAACGGATATATTGTTTGAAAGAAATGAATAGATGTTTATTAAACTAATCTTATTATTAGATTATAACGTGAAGGTTTAAATTTGAAAGCAAATGTTCCCCAACATGAAAAATTATGAATGGAATTATGGCTAAAGAACTTAGAAAATGAAATATTTCCCAGAAATTAGGTAACAATAAATTCCCAGTCTCATTTTCTGAATAATGGATGGCCAAAGTATACTCATACGGTAGAAATCTATGAACCAGCTGTTGACTTCTAACTTCAAACTGCCATGACTGGACTGTATGCCATATCCGATCACTTCCGCAATACTCACCTTACCTTTTTCTCCACCTTTGTTTGTCTGTTTGTTTCTTTTATATCTGTGAATAACTCTTCTGTCCCTCCTTCCAATCGACGTTTCTGATTTTGATGCTCCTCCCCTCTGTCAAGCCAGAAGTCAACTATCATAAAGCTTGCCGTTTGATATGGATAAACTTTTCTGAACAATCATTGTAGCCAATTTACCCTAATGTAAATGTCAATATTACCTAGTATTGGAATGTGTAAAGCGCAGCAGTATCCTCAAAAACAGGTAATTAGAGGAAAGAATTTACTGAGACAGACATTTCTGTTACCAAATTTCGCCTAATTGTGCCTCAAAAATTAGGTTGTACTTCATCTGCTAAAAAATTTAAAGTCGTTCACACTATGTGCCACCTGAATTCGGAATTTTCATGGCGAATGGTTCACATTATCGGATCCCTTTATTGTGATCACTTTATCTAATATAGCTGCTGATCACCTTTCTGGTGTTATGTTATTACCACTGTACGCCACTGCGTTGTCAATATACAATATTCAAAGGAAGTAGCCTAACATCAGATCTCCCAATGTGGAGTAAATTTATCTGTAAATCGCAAAAGGTTTCTTTGTTTCATCTAACATGAAGAAACTATGTGTTTGGTGGTAGCTTTCTAGCACTCGCGGCCAAAAAGAAAATGACAATCCAATTTTCGAATCAGCTTTTGAAAGCAAAAGTTAGAGAGACTATAATTCAACCAGAATAGAGTATTTTTGAAATGGCTTAAAGAGCTACCATAGGCCATTGTTGTTTGCAAAATACTAGAATAGGTGAGCGGGATTTGATTGCAAAATTTTGTCTAGCAACATATGAATGTCTACGCTGTAGCGAATGCTACACACACAAGGCCTGAAGAAACTTAAACAATCCTTTCTGTCAAATTCCCCTCGCACAAACTTGCTCCCGAATTCAACTAGACCACTTTGATAAAATCGAATAAACCGAACATATGGAGAAAACAGCGTTTATTGCATCTTATGGTCACTGCAGATATGATTAGTAAACCAATATACTGAACGCAAATTTAATTGAATATTAATCACTGACTACCTGAGACTTCTTCTGCACGGATGAAAGTGCTTTCCAGAATGTTCGAGTGCGCATGAGGTCTGTGAAACAGCCATGTTAGCTTTGTGCTTTTCACAAATCAAGTGCGTACTCAGAAAGATAAAGTCTAAAATTATAAAAGATTGATAGAAGAGAAAACCCATCACAATTTTTAAGAACATTTACGATTCAATTGCTTGTCGTAAAATATGATGAAAGAACTGCCCAAGTTCAATGATGAATGGAGATGAATACAGTACCCCCCCCCCCAAGTTGATGAAGTCCCTTACATGGGATCAGGAACATATAGGCAAGTAGCTAATTAGTGAGGAAAATTGAAATATAAATCTATTTCCTGCCCATATTGTGTCGAAGCTTAAAAATTTTGTCCGTTTATCTCACGAAATTCGACTCTTCAACTTGCTGGACTAAAAGAATAGTTCCAGCTTGTACGACCATTCGATCTGTGAAGACAGGCCAAAATTAAGCGCTTGTAATGCCTATCAGAGGGCATCGCGTTGCACTAAAAGGCTCGGTTGACCCCCGTCATCCCCGCAAGTGATATCTTCCTAGCTTCAGGAAATGCGATTGCTCAGGAATTGCAAAGAGAAGCGATAAATAATTTTCAAATGCGTTCAAACAAAGACTATTAATTTTAACTTACATGATTTCATTCGAATTTAGCAATTTTGTTATTGGGGATTTTCTGGTATTTGCTTTTTTAAGAATATTAATTAATGAAATACTAAAATAAAGATTTCTCTGCCATAATCTCGCATACCTAGACAGAAATGTAAATGAATTGCATGCAATGTAAAAGCGAGCATCAAATCGATAAAATCGAAATAACATATAAAGCGTGGCTTATAGCATGGAAGACCGCGAAAATAGAACATTTGACGACCAAGTAAAAACCAAAACCGCAATCTATCCTCGATTATTACTTAATACACCTCAAACAAGAAATTCGTCTCTAATTCGTCTTTCAACTGCCTATACAAATGAACAGCTGGATACCTATATTTCGAGGTTGTGGCAAATTGGCAAAAAACACGATGACTTATTGATGCTGAAAGAGGAGGAAATGATTAATGTATGCCATGGGGTTCGTCAGTTATTTCTTGCTCAACCTAATCTCCTTGACCTTGGGGGTCCTCTGAAAATCGTTGGAGACATTCATGGCCAATATGAAGACCTCCTACGAATTTTTGACCTCTGTGGAAATCCTAAGGAAACCAATTACCTGTTTTTGGGTGACTACGTTGATCGGGGAAAACAAAGTTTAGAGACAATTTGCCTCCTTTTTTGTTATAAACTTCGCTATCCTACTCGATTTTTCCTCCTTCGTGGTAACCATGAATGCCAGGCAATTTCCAGAATATATGGTTTCTTTGAAGAGTGCAAAAGGCGATTTTCAGTGAAGTTGTGGAAAACATTTATCGACGTCTTTTCTTGTCTTCCTGTCTGTGCAATAGTTGAAAATCAAATTTTCTGTTGTCATGGTGGGCTTTCACCCGAAATGCTTACCCCAAAGCTAGTAAAACTGGAAAACTTAAGACAAAAAATACGGGATATTGCCCGTCCATGCGATGTTCCCGAAAGAGGACTTCTGTGTGATCTCCTTTGGTCTGACCCTTGGTACATAGAGTCCTTTTCAAGTGATAAGGAAGCTCGTGGCTGGGAACCCAGTGAACGTGGTGTTTCCTATATGTTTGGACCCGACATCATTGATAAGTTCTTAGAAAGGTATGAACTTGATTTAATATGTCGAGCACATCAAGTTGTAGAAGATGGATACGAATTCTATGCCAACCGTTCACTGGTTACCATCTTCTCCGCTCCCAATTACTGTGGGGAATTCGACAATGCTGGCGCAGTTTTCAGTCTCACTCCTCCTACTACCAAACTCTTTAAAGATTCAGACTGCTTGGAATGGGAAGGCAGTTTTCACATTATTCGGCAACCCTTCCCAGCTGGTGAAAATCCCCCTACGTTGGTGCGACCTGAAGGGCTTCAAAGATACAGCTAATAATCGAGAAATGCTATCGGGAATCTAGTTAAATCTTACTTAACGTAGACTTTAGAAAATAAAGACTAGTGCGTTTTAGAAATTTGGAAAATTTATCAAATTATCACACGTTTATCTTCTAAGTTGTTTTAATTTATATTCTTCCACTATGTCAATCTACCATGTTGGGTCCGCCGTTGTATAAAACTGATAGTTAACATCAATTCGATGGGTCATTTCGCTTACTGTGTTTAGAAAGGCGTTTCAAGTTTATCGTATACATAAATGAAGGTAATAACAATGAAGAAACTAGAGTTATAGATATAGATGCCAATTAACGATTTATTAGATTGTTAGTCTTAGATCTTAGCTCGGTTTTTTTTGTAATTTCGTTCTTTGATTCAACAATATTCAACCTAGTCATATATAATTTCCATCAAAATGTATTTAAGTCACATGGCAGGCTTTTCGCCAGTTAGCAGTAGTCCCTTAGTTAACTTCGGGCTTCTAAATGCCAGTGAGGACAAAACGGTGCTAAAAACGCACATTTAGTAAACAGATGTTAGAGTTCGGTTTGTGACCCAGACACCATGAAGGAAACACAACTTTGCCACCTAATTTTTTAGTTGTTTAATTGCTCAACATTACGCATGAACAATAAATTCCATTCAATTATTAGGGTTAAAAGGTCTAACTCCGATACAGAGAACAAGTCAGGCATCCCATACTACAGGACTATAACCACAGATACCAATTCCGGTTTCAGGCAATAGGAGTTCAAATAATGTACTAAGTCAGGACAACCTACAGGTTTCGATTGTAATATAGTTGAATAAAGTGCTCAACCATCACATCGTCAACATCAGACCTGCGGCGCATGCTCTAGGCGAAAATTTGTTACCAAATGCGATTGAAGTAGAAAACCACTTGAAGAAATACTTTATTTCAAAGCATCGAAAACAATGGTTTCATATGCATAATTTAAAATGCAAAAAACGCCTTAATGTTGCTTTCAAAACGCTCAATTTCTTATTGCCCATAACAGAAAACTAGAGCTCAACTTAAGGAAGGTCTCTTACAGCAATTAATGCAAAATTTTAACGAGGTACCTATACAATTGAGAAGCATATTAGAATGGGTCACTTAGCACTAACCAAAAGAAATAAGGCTTTACAATTGTGCACAATAGTCAGATTCTACTAATTTTTATTCTAAAAATGATCGAATTAAATAACACAGATAGATAACTGTGCTTATGTACAAAAGAGGCGTGAAATAGAAAACTAGTTCCTCTTCTTTTTCTTATTCTTTGAAGACAACGAACCACTAGACTCAATTCGTCGTTTTTCATCCTCCGCCTCAGCCTCTGCAATCACCCTTTCTATTGTATCGCTACGGGCGGGACAGTACTTGGAGTATTCCATTGTGTATTCCCCTTTACCCTCCGTTAGACCTCGAAGTTCTCCAGCGTAGCCGAACATGTCATTGAGAGGCACCTATTGGAAGCCAGAAAGAAGAATAAATACAAGTAGAGGCATTAAAATGATTATTATGAGGCAAAACTGGTTAAGTAGGAAATTATTGACCACATAAGAGTAAAATGCTCCGACGCCAACCTTTTTCTTGCACCAAGTTCATGAAAATACACACGTAAATCAAATCTCATCCTGTGAAAATATAGTGTGCGTGTTCCCGAATTGCCATGATGAAAACTAACCTCAGACAGGAATTTTTTTCCAGAACAGAGGTTCAAACTGCAACGAGACAAACTTGAATTGAATTTAAATGCGCGAATAAAGCAATAGGAAAGAAACTCTTTGTCAAGGCTAATCGACAACGTGAGTTGTTAAACCAAAGGAAAGTATACTATCCTAACACAATTGAGACTCAAGTCAAAAACGTTTTCTTATTTCTACCTCATTGAATAGTTCTAAGGTCATTTTCTAATTACCAACAATTTAGGCCTGCAAAACTAGAAAGCCCCAAACTCAATTTGACATTTAAAGAAATCGTTACCTTTCAGGTTCAAAACATTTTATGGCTAACGATTCTCTAATCTAAAATGTAATGTTGGCAGATATACATTGCTATTCGCATTGGTCATATCCTACCTTGTACACAAATTGTATGGTCGCCCCCATGAATAGTTAAGGCTTCATTTGAATACTAGAGTCGCACGGATAACACGAATTAATTATAAGTCAAGATAAATATGGCCGAGGACTTAAGGGAAAATTTATTTGTACGTCGCGCACTACACTATATGATGAAGATCATTCCTTAAAAACAGAGGTTTTTACTACTAGACACCTCGAATTATAGATATTTTAATCTTTTCGAAACTCAAATACAACATAGTATTCGGCAATTTAAGTCCAAGCAAAGTCAGAAGCGAAGCGGACGCTCTAATGTGATAGCAGATATCATCCAACAAACACAAATGAAATGGAATTTAAGTGTCTCCCTATTCCTTCCCTGAATTTGTTCAGTATGACAAAAAGAGTACAAGAAAAACTGAAGCCATTTGGTAGCATAAGTTGTAAAATGATGTTAAGATAATCAGTAAATCCAAATCGTCAGTTAACAAAGAGAGATCCTCTAGGTGAAATCGTTAAAGTATAGCATGGTTAACGGAGAATGATTCTACTGTTAATAAAACACCTCAGACTACGAAAATTTTGGATGACAAAAAGCTTAGCAAAATAGCCTCTCCTTTGCAAATTGTTACTTAAACTGCACTCGTATCAAGGCATACGCAAATATAATAGGAAAGTCTACTTCTCAATACGTGGGTATTAGACATTGAGAAAATCTATTGACTGAAACAATGCGACAGGGAAACTCTAGAATATTTCAACAGAAATAAACTTTGAACTTACTTCAGCTAAAACACGGGCATTTGCATCACTGACGTCAGATTCCACAATAAGTCCATTACGTCGAGTCACAGAACTTAGAAGTTGTCCATGAAATTCCACTGGCGAAGTGCACTCCACTAACATAATTGGTTCCAGAATAGTCCATTTGCCGCGTTCAAAAGCTGAAAAATGGGTGAATTAAATCAAAATAAATTAACAGCACAGGTGTGCTCAAAGCTGATTAAAAGAATTAGAATACAAAAAAGGGGAAAGTGAGTTTCAAATAGATATAAACAGAACAGTTAAAATTTTGACCCTGGAGCCCTAAATCATTACCTAACAGATGCTTCCATAAGGTGACTTGTCAACTATCTTAGCCTTGGGATGCTGTTGGGTTCCTCAATCGTAACCATATCTATTAGTGGTATGCAAGTCCCAAAACGGTGCCCAAAACTTAGGCGCTTCCTGTTTCTTGCCTCATCGTTTAGAGATGAGATTTAAATAGAATAGGTGAAAAATTTTAGCTAAAACTATGCTACTGCAACTTACCTTGACGCATAGCGCCTTCAGCAGCTTGTTGAAAGGACCAATCCGAAGAATCGACGCAGTGATGAGCACCGTCTTTGAGGCGAAATCGTACACCCACAATTTTGGCGCCACTTAGACTGCCTCCAGACTCACAGACATTTCGGAAACCTGTTTGAATAGCAGGAACGTAGTTTTTCGGAATGTTTGTACCGACTGTTTCATCAGAGAAGATGATCTGAGTATTTTGTTCTGTAGGTAGTGGCTCCAAGATTCCAATAACTCTACCATATTGACCTGCTCCACCGGATTGCTTCTTGTGAAGGTAGTCAAATCTATTGGAGTAAAGGCAAGAGCATACAAAAGCTAAGAGGTTTCCAGTGGGCTTTTTATTCTCCTATTAAAGAAATTATTACAACTCAAATCCATGGCATAAAGGAATTCGGGAATGATTTTGCCATTAACCGTTGCATGCAAAAAGGCACAAACATGTTCACAGGACTTAAATCATCGACAGTTCATCAGACGATAGCTAAGTTATTCAACCACCCCTTACTAATTAATAGACATTCGAATAAAAAGAATGACGATGAAAATTAGACGATTAGAAAGTCTCTTTAATGACAATTAACTATGAAGATGATACAGGCATTGCAAATCGAAACAAATTAATGCGAACTCATTAGATTAAGCAAACGGGGAGAAACGCAAGTAATCGTTTTTAAAAAAATTATGCAAATCAGCCATTAGTTACTAAATAGGTGTCTTTGTTGCAAGTAACGATTTATGTTATATTCCATTTTAATTCTTATTGAAATAACGAATAACCCTAATACTGCTTATGTGGTGCGCTGTTGTACACAGTTTGAGCTGAACTGCAAAACGTTTTCGGTATATCAATAAGAAACTGTGCTTGGCTTCTTCCTGACTGAGATATAGGCGTGTAGATCATAAGACTCTAAGATATGCATTTGTTACCTCAAAATATACAGCGTTCTTGTTAGCAATAGGCAAACTTACTCGACGGGTTCAAGAAGGGTCTCTCTGAAGGCAACCTTTGGTTTTCCCAATGTACAGGGAGCGTTGTATTCTCGAGCAAGTCTTTGGGCATAAATCTCGAGATGAAGCTCACCCATACCCGACACAAGTGCCTGACCGCTCTCAACATCGTGTCGAAGACGAAAAGTTGGGTCCTCTTTGGTGAAACGAGCCAAGCCCTTACTGAAGGCATCTATATTGTGCTTGTCCACGGGGGTTATGGACATAGACACCACGGGTTCAGGGATGAACATGGACTCCATAGAGAGATTCTCTATCGTTGTATTTGGCGCCATTAGGGTATCACCGGATGCGCAGTCAACACCGAAAAGAGCAGCAATATCACCGGCGTAAACGGCTTCTAAATCCTCAAAGGTGTCCACATTCATACGGCCCAGGCGGGGCACTCGAAGTTTCTTTCCCGTTCGTGTATTACGTACGTACTCGCCACGTCGCAAACAGCCCTGGTAGACACGAGTGTAGGTCAGCTGGCCGAATTTACTCGCCTGAAGAGAAAAAAATAGGTGCGAACCATTTAAAGGGTCAATATTAATAGTTGCAGCTTTCACTTACAACATAACATATCAGTTCTAATACCACAGGTCATCTACGTTCCACCACATAATAGTTTACAGCACCCAACCAGAATAATCTTAGGATCTAATAGCAGATAAATGAGTGGGTAAGGCCAGTCACTTAATGTAAATAACGTGGACAAAAACTCAAAAAGGAGCAAATCGATTAAATGTTCAAACTTAGAGCGCACGGACAAATAACAACAATAGACCTGCATGCGATAGAAAATAAAAATGCAAATATGATACCCCTTTTAAAGAATTTGTAACCATTAAAAGGAAACATTTAAGTAAATAAGTGGGCGGTAGAGAAGGAAATTGAACGATAATGAAGTCATATACACATTAACTTCGTGGATTAGCTTGAAACCTTACAGAAACTAAATTCGCTTTGCCAAATATTCAAACATACTCATGACCTAAAATTAGTGATAAGTGGAGCAAAGAAGGGGCTAAATCGTGAGTCTACAGCAAATCCAATTTCCATAAATATAGTACTCTAAGTTTCATCAGACATTCCCAAGACCGAAGGTTAAGAAATGTGTCAAATTCCAGAATTAACTAACCTGCAAAAAAGGAAATTATTTCAGTTAGTTACGAAATGGGAAAAAAACTAAAAAGGAAAATTCGCTTTCAAAAAGAGGAATGTAAAACACAAAAAAATATCACAGTTGGTAGATAAAAAACGCCAAAAATGTAGAACTGAGATAACCAACCAAGAGAAGAAAATAAGGAGTTGTCGAATTTAGGATAAAAATTAAAAGCATAGACAATATAGCAAAATCAGTATTTTGTTCAACGATAAGTTTACAGATTGTCTATTTTAATGTGAAAAGATAACATAATTAGGGTACCTCAAGTTTGAAAGCCAGGCTCAGAAAAGGTGAACTTGAGTCTCGAGAACCATCCAATGGTACCTTCTTGGTTTCACTGTAAAGAGAAGTGGATTTCACTAGTTCAAAGTCAAGGCGCAATGTAGGAATTGAAAGAAAATCTGCCTACCCATCCTTCTCATTCAAAGCGAAGTGTTGAATTTCCGTGGGATTAGGAAGATAATCCACAACCGCATCCAAAAGCGGTTGAACACCGCGATTCTTGAGTGCAGTACCAACCAACACAGGGGTGAATTTATGAGCTAGTGTAGCACGTCGAATGCCTGCTTTCAATTGGTCAATAGTGAGTGGTGATTCCGACAAATAAGCTTCACCAATTTCTTCGTCAGCATTTGCAAGGCATTCTACAATAGTGAAATAATTGACTACTGATTCATTGTAAGTAGAATGTATTTATTAAGTCAAATCACCAATCATTTCAGCACGCCGGTCTTTAGCCTCAGCAACCATATCCTTGGGGATCTCCTCAAAACGAAGCGTCAAACCTTGAGGCTCGTCAAAGTAGATGGCTTTCTCCCCTAGGAGATCAATGATGCCAATGTTCTCTGATTCCAATCCAATGGGAATATTAACAAAGGCAGCATGATAGCGCAATTTGTCTCTGAACATTTGAAAAGACGCTAGTTTAGCATACATTAGGGGTAAACTCTTTAAAAGATAAATAATTCGAACATTAAGACAACCAGGCTTCTAGTCTGTCAGATCGTACATAAGCGAATTCATAAAAAAAGCATAAACGCGAAGTTCAAAGGAATGAGGCATATTAAAGCATATTGCCCAAATTCAGAAATGAAGATTTGTAATTGAATGCAATAGCAATCCAAAGGCAACCTATAAATTCTTGGATAAGTTTTCTGAAATCACAATTATACAGAAATCATCACCTAGGCAAATTCTGGGTAACGTAAAATATGTAAAAAGTCAAGGAATCCCAAAGCTGGAAATAAAATAGCGCATAAACCTACCGCATTTGCTTGATTACACGATAAGGATTTGCATCCAGACGATCAACTTTGTTAATAAAAGCCACATTTGGAACTCGGTATCTCTTCATTTGCCGATCAACAGTGAGAGTCTGACTTTGGACTCCTCCAACAGCACAAAGAATAAGTACAGCACCGTCAAGAACACGAAGAGCTCTCTCAACCTCTACGGTGAAATCTACGTGTCCGGGAGTGTCAATTAGATTAATATTATGCCCGCGCCAGGATGTATAAGTAGATGCGGATTGAATGGTGATACCACGCTGGCGTTCAAGTTCCATGGAATCCATAACAGCACCGACACCATCTTTGCCCCGAACCTATATTGTTCGTCAAAACCAAAGCTGTAGAAATATATTTATAATAAATTATATAATTAATAAATAAAGTGAACTTGCCTCGTGCATGGAGGATATACGGTTGGTATAAAAGAGAATGCGTTCAGAAACCGTGGTCTTTCCACTATCAATATGTGCTGAGATGCCGATATTGCGAATTTTTGTAACATCGAAAGGCTACAAAGTACTTACAAAGGAAAAAAGAGCTTACGAAAGAGGAGGTGCCATTGAGACGTTTATGAGATAAATGAATTAATCGTGGGGGCAAGCGTAGTTTGTAGCATATCGAAGGAAGCATCTCTTTTAAAATAAATGTAAGAACGGCTTAGTGGGTTGAATACGCACTAAAATAATACTTAATCAAGTTAAAAGGGCACAATGAACAAGCAATTTATTCTTTCTTTAGTAGAAAAAAGGCTACAAATAACCAGTCCAAAAATGTACAATGAATAAGAGCACTTAGGCACTCTCAAAAGGGCTAAGACATTACCCAGCAGTCTTCAATGCCTATTGGGCAGAATTGCTTTTCGGTTTAATTTAACGTGTTGATATACATTATTGATTAATGTTAGTTATTTAAATGCAAATAAAATGATGAATTTATTATATGGTAACATATTTAAAAATCGAACTTAATTAGAAAGGAATTTGGATACCAATTTTACTGATTTATTTATCACATAAATCGGATTAAGTATATAATTTCTTATGAATGTTTTTTAAACGTGAAAAATTAAAAATAGTTGATGTTCTGTCAACACTCTATGGAATGCATAATGTGTTACTCGTTTGAGATAAAGTGATAATTCTCTGCCCCTTTCATTTGCATAAATATAACCTTATTTCTTATCAGTCACTTGCAACTTGAATATCAATATAAACTAACATTGTATCGGTTACCCCACTTGTTATGGCGTTAGTCGACTTGAAATTTAATATTGGTTTCTGTGATTCAGTGAAATTAAGCATATATCAAATATTGCTGCCTCATAGATGGAGATGTTTTTTATTTTTTATCTCAAATGGCAGGCGCTTTGATAGCTATCATTAGCCATTTGGCTGACTTCGGGCTTCACAGAGGGAAGGTTCATCAAAGTAGCAGAAAGTCGAGGGGTGGGGAATAGAAGAGCGATTCACAGATGTAAAAGAGGCAGACAGACATAAAGGTAGGGAAAAAGGTAAGATGAGTACTGTGGAAGGGGTCGAATATGACAGGCAGTTGGGCCATGGTATTTTGAAGTCAGAAGTCAACTGCCGGTTAATAGACTTTTTTGCCGTATGAGTATACGTTGCCCAGGGTGCACCACGTGGAGATGTTACCGAGTAAAAAAATTATAAAGCTCCAGC